ATTGGAATAGGAGATCACTCCGATCGTCGATTGTCGAGAATAATTTCAAATTGATAAAATTAACATTGTTTCGCAAGTATTAAATTAAGTTTGAAGAAAGAATGATACTAATTTAATACAATAACATTTAACCGGATGATTAATTGTTATAAGTTACATTAACCACAATAGCACAAGTAAATTGCCAACTGTATATTGCAATTTAGGGATTGTAGATGCTACATCCAATAAAATACACTGAGTCATTATGCAGTATTAATTAATCTACACATTATAATACACACATACTTATGTGTATGTGTGTTCAGTGAGTGATTATTTGTATGAATCTATGATGTAAAATCGCTCGATACATTTCACCAGATGACAGATGTAGCATCTCATAGACCGACAATTTTCTGGCGTATCATTTTGGAAAAAAATATTAAATTTGATATATATATATAACCATTATATATGCCCAAAAGATTTGTTCCATAATAATAATAATAAACAAAAGTTTATTGTACGAAAATAAGATATTAGATACTTGTATTTCTTTAATTTATGGATTTTCAACAAATAAAAACACGCTTTTGTAGAAATTGGCGTTTTAATCTGAATTAAGAAAACATAAAGGTACAAAAGAATGAGTAAAATAATGGGGATTAAAGAGATTCGACGCGTAATTGAAGCATGAAAATCGCCGTGTTCTTCGGGTTTTGCCCCTAATTGACCGATCCTACACACTTTTCAAAGGTATCTACATCTTTACAAATTCATATTCTCGATTCACTCATTTTGCTTTTCTTTTCTTTTTCTTCAAGAATTGTTTTTTTTTTTCTTTTCTTAGTAGGGCTGACAATCGGGCTACGGGAGATGAGCCTCAGTTGGTTGAACGTTACATATCATCGAACCTCGTTACTGTAGACTCATCGGACTGTATTAGTATAGACTTAAGCTCGACTCGTGCATTATTTTGGGTTTCGGGTTTATATATGGGTATCATTACTATAGAACTGTAATTTGATTTGGGTGGGTATGTTGCATTTTGATTCATGTTATACCTATTGCCACCGTCGTCATTTAATTTTAGTTTTAACCTTTTTTTTTTGGCAAAATAAAATAATCTTATGCAGTTGTAACTTGTATGTGAGACATATCATTAAAATAATAAATATTTTACTATTAACTTAATTGATCGGACCTTATTCAGGTGGAAATATAGTAGGCTCAAACTCGACTCATAAATAAATTCGGTTTAGTAAAATGGTTCAAACTCAGTTCGACTCACTGAAAATAGGCTCAGCTCAAATATAGTCGAGCCGAGCCATCGAGCTTCGGTTAGACCCGGCTCAATTGCCGGTCCTACAAAATAGTATTTTTGTCGTTGTTCTTTTTGAGGAAAGTAGTGTTTTCTTTTTTCTTTTTTTTTTCTTTTTTTTCTTTTTTTGTGCTTTGGTTGCTATTCTTGAACTGTGGGGCATGTTAATTAATATTTACTAATACTTAATTAACTTAAGTGAGTGTGACACTTGATTTTTATAATGGATGGATCCAACAAATGTAATGGGGAAGATATGTAATTTGTAGAAATAGTAGAACTTGTTTTCTTTATAATTTCTTTTTTAGAATCACACATATCTGAATTTTTGAGTTGTAATTACAATTTAACCAGTTATCGAATTCATATCAGATGGCTGAATTTCTGGTTGTTTGCAATACTTAATACATAAATTTCTACAAAAAAATTGAAATATTTATCTCGTTCCGAATTTACATACCGTATCGACGTACGTCTTGATACAAAAGCTCGTACCGTTACTTCAATGCAACTTTCTTTGTGAGGAAACTTTTATGATCTATTCATCGAAAATTGAAAATGTTTACGAGCCACTTATGCTTTAGAAATTAATTTCCCGTAAGAGTATCTTCGTTTATCGTATTCGATTATGACAGCTCATTCCAATACATTGCTAATTTTCCACAGAATAACAACTGGATTTTTTTACTTGATTAAATATAATACCATTGTACATTATTCTAAGTGCTGGTTGAAGATCAAAAGGAATCGTCTCGGATAATTTTACCGTCGTATTTAAGTTGTGTATAGCTACTAAAATGGGAATCGTCTCGGACTTTGATGATTTGATGTAATTTGTGCGTACCCTTCTCGTTCTTGGACAAAGTTCTGATGCATGTACTAATTTTTGCAGATTGTTTTCCCGGAGGTTTTCGATTTCCACGGCACAACTTATCAGAGTAAAAAACAAAAGACTGTTTTAAAGATTCATATTAACAGAATCATTATTTGCCAATCATTGCATATATCCTCGATTTTCGATGATTAGGCCAATTGCCAATGATTATTAATGAAAGGTAAATGTTTTCATTTTTCAATCATTTATACGAATTTCTCAAGATTCACCGGGATTTATATGCTGGCTACATGATTTAGTAAATTCCTCATCTTAAAAATTCAAGAAAATGAAGATCGACGAACTCCTCCTAAAATCCCCTGTTGTCTGACAAATTTATTTTATTTGAACTTTCGGTTTGGAGGATTAAAGACAGGAGCTAAGCTGGAAAAGATTATGTCTGCTGTATAGTTTCGAAATAATTTTTTTAGAATATCGACTCAATTCCACGACCATTCTTTCCTATAGATGAAGTCATCCTCCTTCAAATAATTATCGTATTATTTTAATGTTTCGAAAAGGACCCCCACGTTCTGTAGATTGCCAGGTGTCATTCCTTACCCCCCCCCCCCCCCCCCCCCGAACCCCGGTTCCGAACACTAGGGGATGGGGGTTAACGCAATATGGAATATTACGGGGTTGATCCAATGAGTAGATTCGTATTATAAAATTCCCAATCATTTGAATATTGGGCTTAATGTGTCTTTTAGAGTTTGAAAGGTTGCATAATTCAGCATATGATTGAGTGAACTCGGTCTTCTGTGAGTTGTACGCAGAATCGGGACCCCATTTGCGTAATATTTTATCGGCATTGACATTAATAATATGTTTTTTCCCCAGCTTGTCAATCAGTTAAACTATTCTTTATTCGAGCTAAGAGTATAAATATGTCTTCGTTTTCACAAACCTAAGGCAACTCAGAGCTTCGATACCGAAAAAAGAAAAAACCTTTTTTCTTTCGTCTCTCCTAAATCCGAAAAAAAAAAAATAACATGGAACACATCGGAGCTATTTCTGAAAGAGAATGGACCTCGTTAAACGGAATGTGCTCCGAAGAAGCCGAGTTCATGTCCCAGTTTCTCGGGAATTGTTCGTCATATCCGAACGAGGTAACGGGTTTTTCTAACTTTCCAGTTTCTTGTGCATTTTGGCCCTCTCAAGAGTCGACGAATGAGAGTGCAATGTACTCGTCGGACGAAACGAATACGAGCGTGTACTCCTTTTCGCAAGGGAGTGGCTATAGTGGCGGCATTGTTTTTCCGTTTTCGAGCAACGAAAGCTACCACCACCACCACCACCCTAGTGGGCCCCACCAAGTTTTCTTGACTAACAGCAATTTGATGACGATGGATTACTGTACGACGGAGAGTAAGGAAAAGGACAGTGACGATTTCCTTAACCATGATGTCAGCAACGACAGCGTCGAGTCCATGTCTGAAGCAATTCAGATGCCTGATTTAAAGAAGGAAGAAAAATATATCGCCCCTCTAGAGTCGAAGAAAAGATCTCGTGTCAGTAGCGAAGTAAGCAAAAAAAAAAAAAAATCTTGTTCGTCACCTTTTTTGTTTTTTGACTTTTTTTAAAATTTCTTACGATTATTTTATGCGAAATTCAGGTCCAAAGGAACAAGAGGAGCACGAAAACGAAGAAGTGTGCGAAGATTGACGACAATGAAGAGGATAATTGTAGGAGTATTAAAAGGCAGAACTCGAGCAGCTGTTTTTCAGAAGACGAGTCGAATGTTTCGCATGAAATGAATTCGAGTTCGAAGCTAAGTGGGGCCCTCAACTTGGATGGAAAAACACGAGCAAGTAGGGGTTCGGCTACCGATCCACAGAGCCTCTATGCAAGGGTATTTATTTTCAAGAATTCGATTAATTAACGAGTCGTTACTTGGATTATCTAATCCATGCACGTTTCGCTAATGCTGTGTTTTTTTTTTTTGCTAATATTGTAGAAACGAAGAGAGAGAATAAACGAGAGGTTGAGAATCTTGCAGAACCTCGTCCCAAACGGAACTAAGGTAAAAACATCGTCGAATAAAAGTCCGTTCGTAATATTGTACTGCATTTTCGGAAGACTTAATCTGAAAAAAAAAACATTTTTTTATGATGATAGGTTGACATCAGCACAATGCTTGAAGAGGCTGTTGAGTATGTAAAGTTCTTACAACTTCAGATTAAGGTAATATTTGTTTATTATTATTATTATTATTTTTTTTTTTCCGTGTATATTTCGTAGCTATTATGGCAAAGTTGGTCGTACGAAACTCTTGGTTCGATTTTCAAAATAATATTATTTTATGGGATATCTAATATTATTTTTTTATACGTTTTATTACGATGCAGCTATTGAGCTCCGATGACCTATGGATGTATTCTCCGATTGCATATAATGGAATGGACATTGGTCTTGATTTAAGAATTGCAACTCCGAAACCGCAATCTTGATCGAAGATGACGGTGTCATTTTCTGTGAATAAAACACAGTTGCCATATTTATATTGGCATTTGTTTTTATTTTTTTATTTTTTTTTCTTTTTCGAACGAGAACGTAACTCGAAACAACGGCTATATACATCTCTTTGATGAGGACTGATCACACTCTTTGTTTATAATCCAATCACTAAATAAATAAGCTTCTCTCTCTGGCTGTAATCTGAACCTGATGAACAATATTGTATCTATTTTTATTTTATTTTTAATTGTTTTTTCTGGCTATTATGAATGGAGCCATGAGATTAAATGTATAAATGATGATCCCATTTTATTGCATCGTTGTTTTGTGTAATGATAATTTGACTGTATATTTGTGTTTTTTTTATATCATGTGGTTGTAAGTAATGTGTGTAATGATCTTTAAATTTATGTAATTTGTTAGAGACATATGCAATAAAAAATAATATTTTTACTATTATATTTATATTTTTTTTGGCCACGTTAAACTTAAAAGATAAAAGATTAATATTTTTATTATACAAAAAGGTATATTCCTGTGAAAACTTTAATTTAAGGTGATGAATGGTTATGGTCTAGTTGTGGTTGAACCCTAAATTTGTGGTTGAACCCTAAATTTGACCTAGATCTAGATCTCAACAAATAATACAATCCGAATCGGATCCGAATCCATATTTTAAAAGTGATTTTCGAGATTTGAATTTGACTCGAATCCGAGTTGAATAAAATTCCGGATCCGGATCCGGATATGGATTCAGATTGAGATCCGGATCCGGTTTCGGATTCACATTGAGATCCGGATCCGGTTTCGGATTCAGATTGAGATTGAGATCCGAATTCGGTTTCGGATTCAGATTGAGATCCGAATTCGTAAAGTAAGCATCCCTTATTTACATTTGATTCGGAAACGAGTAGTATGTATGTAATTTTGAATCCGGATTCAAAGTTGGATCCGAATTCAGAAAATGAATCTTGAGATCCAATTCCCCTCGAAGCTAAATTTGAATATAATTTGAGCTACGTTCATATTCATATTTCATACTCAGATCCGAATTCATAAAATTAATTTAATTCGAACACGACTTCATATCCATCAATACAAATTATTCAAAAAAAATGTTTTTGAGTTAATATTTGAAAATATTATCCAGCTAATCAAGACTTAATTTAATTTAATTTAAAATTAAATAGAATTAAATCATTCTAACTTGACCAACTCTTGGATCTGACAAAAGTAATAGAACTCAATTCAATTTCTGCTTTAAATTTTTAATTAAAACCAGATTAAATATATGTTGGATGTCTGTACATTATCCATCCAACTAATTTATCTATTCACATTAGATCCAATTGACCGAAGTTTAACATAGACCCGATAATAGTTCAGATTCAGATTAGGATCCAGATCCTCATTCTTATCTTGATCCAGAATCGATACGAACCGGGTCAAGGTCGAAACTGTGTCCGGATTTTTTGATGGGTCTGACCATTTCGTTTCCGGGTTCGGACAAACATGGATCTACATTTAGCCACATGCACCAAATAATTCGTATATTTCGGATCCAACCGTAAACCCGATTCATTAACTTTCATTATTCAAATTATAGACCCGCATCCAAATGAATACGTATAACCAAATCACATTTGCAATAAAATACTGTAAGATATAATAATCAATAGACATTACACACGCACAAAAAAAAAGGATAAATAGCACATACCCCCTTAGGTTTCAACTTTGTGCACATGACCCCCTTATACTTTTTATATAGCACAAAACTCCCTTGCATTTTAATATAAGCACATAACCTCCTTATACTTTCAAAAAATTCCTCTTCCTAATAAGCATGACTATTTACCAAGTGGAATATCATGGGGGGTTATTTGCTTATATTAAAAATACAAGGGGTCATGTGCACAAAGTACAAACTATAGGGGGTTAAGTGCTATTTACCCAAAAACATTTACAGTTCAATTATAAAATCCTCATTACACAAAAAATTCCCGTTCGATCATCGCATTAGATGTAATAATATCTAGATTTCACATTATGACATCGAAAAACGCATAACCGAAATCGAGCATTTCGATAGGAATAAAATAAAACCCTAATGTCAAGAGGGATCAACAAAACATGCATGGAAGTGAATCATAAATCAATGTCCTAATCATTTAAATACTGCAGACTACTTACACACAAGACATACATAATTCAAATATTGAGATTATTAAAACCACTTCTAATTAACATATATTTTTACTTATTATATAATCTGCTCAGCAGATCTATATACTCCAGTAATAAGTCCTCAAAGCCACATTCTGTGTCAGTAATTCTTGAGATCTATGCAATCAATGTTCAAACAAATGCTACGAAAACAATCACCAAAAAAAAAAAAGACATTATCTTTGCATGTTCCGAAAACGAAAATACAACCATTACTCCTCCTGAATTACACATTATTAACTAAAAAAAAATCATGATGACGACATTTAAACATCATTCCACGAGGAACAAAACCATTAAATAACGGTACATAATTTCTAACAACTAATAATAATGTTTGACTGTCCCTTCATCAAGAAAACATGCAATCACGACGAAGATACATTTAAAAAAAAAAAAGAAAAAAAAAAATAAACGCACCTCATTACACGCTCTTCGATTAAATTAGGGAGGCATCACCTGTCACATGATACAACATACATGTATCGACCCCTAATCAATTTTTTTTTTCTTTTTTTTTTTGTGTTTCTTAAGTGCCCCGAAAACACGGTTCTGACTCCGACATGTTTGTATATTTAACACCTACATTTCCAACAAATCATTTCATAATTATTGAATTTCTACCTCAAAAAACCTTCTGTTGGATATAGAAAGGTAAGTACAACGAGTCACCGCATCACCCCCCTTAGAGAAGAATAATGATTGAGCGTCATTTTCAAGCACGTTCATCGTTTACGTGATTTTGAACCTCATTTTGGCTGTCTAGAGGCATATATTGCGCCATTATAGCCCTGATCTCCGAATCCATATATGACTGAAAAAAAGTTGAAACGACAGAAAAAATAAAATATGTGATAAATATTCAATTATGAATCAATGATCCAAAGGGTTAATCAAGAATCTCACTATTGATCAGGAAAAAAAAATAATAATCTTCACAAAAGTACGTGTACCACTCACCAAATTTAAGTATATAGAAAAAATCAAAATACGTAACATTCAAATGTCGAACGGAAAACTTACCCTTAACCTATGTTTGTACACGAGATAAGCACCACCGGCAGCCATACCCAATCCGAGCAAAATAATCCAAACAGCAGTCCAAGCAGACTTCACCTCACTAGCCCTTTTACCTATACAACGAAAAGGTGTAGAAATAAATTGAGGATTTAAGTGCACACCTTATTCAGATACATATACAGTAACTAACTAAGGAAAATGAACTAACTTATGCATGTATCGTGGTCCCTAATATATAGCAAGTCCCCTCCACAAGTGCACTCGTAACTTCCCCAAGTATTTTTGCAGCTGCAATCTGGGCATTGACAGGCTTTCTTCTCCTTACATTCGTCAATATCTGTAAATTATTTAATTAAAATAACGAAGGCAGATGTTAAACAAGCGAATTTCACCAAAAAATCCTTGATCATTTAATGCATTTTGCATTTTAGCAAAAATCCTGATAGGTTTACGAATACTTTTTTCTGCGATTTTAGTATCACATATTTGTATCATAACAAATCGACATGTAACATAATGCAGATTGTACTGGAACAACTCGAGGTCATAAGAATGCTATACAGAGAGTTATTTACCTTCGCAACTTTTAGCACCATCATCACCTTTAAATCCTGGAGGACATTGGCATTTTCCCTCCTCGTTATCCTGTTAACAAAATATCTGACAATCTCAATCCAATCTAACATTTACCTCAAGATTAAGATATTAATCGTCGAAAAAAAAGGCACTAACCACACAAGCAGAGAAAGTTATCCCATCTTTTGTTTCATGCCAACAGCCTCCGTTACTTATTTTGCATCTCCCGGGCCCGCTTGCTGCATATGGAAAGATTTACTTGAGTAATAGTCTACTCAGAGTAGCTTAAGATGTTTAGAAGAAATGAACAACTATACTAACATAATAGAGTTAGTAATTTCGTTCAAGATTACTGACATATATGTTGAAGCAAGAAATCTTATTCAATCCGTAGGTTATTAATGTCTCTCGTTGTTTACCGCAACTTGAAAAAACCAAATCATGAAAATCATTGTTAATTACATGCACCAAGACAAATGGATATTAATAATTTCGTTCACATCTGAACCAAATTGCCATGTTGCCATCAAATAGAAATCACTATGAAGCCTTGTCAATCATGCCCAACAAGTATCAAGATGTGCATAAAATGCAATTTTAAGAAAAGTCGATTTTACAAAAAGGTCACAATTACTGTGACCCGGAAAGGGTAACTAAATTATATTTCTAATTACCTAGTTTTATGGTTATTGAAGGATCAACGAGGCATATCAGATAATCAGAATCTTCAAAACCATTCTTGGATTATTAATGATGTTAACCTGATAAATACCATATGCTTTTCGGAGATGAGTCCTTGTGTGTGATAAATCACATTCAAGAATACTTCAGTTAAATCCTTTTAATCCCAATCTATCACACAATCAAAACTCGTTTTAATTCTTGTCTCCCTTAATCATTAGTGAGTATTGCTAATGACATTTGTATCACAAATTGTGCGATGCTATGGATGAACTATAACTACCCATTTGCTAAATGCAGCTACACTTGTTTAACAAAAGTGAAGAGGTGACACAAGACATGAGCGGGCTGTCTCCCTTTTATAGTTTTTCTATTAAAATGAAATAATCTTATATTACACAGTAAAAAAAAAAGGACTGAATAAGAAAAACATGAGGATATTTTTTACTAGTTTAAGGGGTGTTTGATGCAAAAGATATAATTTAGGGGGGTATTTGATGATTTTAAAAGTTTAGGTGGCATTTGATGCAGAGGGTATAGTTCAGTGGTGCAAAGTGTATTTAAGCCAAAAAAACAAAGAGCTGCTTGTAGACTTCTAGTGGGCATCTCCTAAAATATTAATAGAAACTATTTTCAAAAAACAAACAAATAAAACCAATTTACATACCAACACAAGATCTGTAACCATCTCCTTTAAACTGCACACCATTAAGCACAGGGCATTCACACACTCTTCCTCGAAACGTGTCCTAAATGTTGCACACAAAATTGTTAAGAATATGAAAAAGGTTCAAAATAAAACATACAAAAAATCATATTAAAGAAACCTTGCAAGCCGTAATATTAGTTGTCTTGTCTTCCCAGCACCCACCATTATTGTCCAAACACTCATTCGTTTCTACATCTGTAGCAAGAAATTATCAGGTCTAAGTTCGTTTTTTCATACCGTTCAACATTTCAATTAACTCCGAAAATAACATACCACCACTCAAACAAACTGATGGCTCAGTAGTTTCCTCAAAACCAGCACATATCGCCTTCAAAACAGAACCTTTCTCCAATTTCCCTGCCCAAAAAAAATTTAAAATGAAGACGCATCAGAGAAGATGAACTTCAAGTTGATCGATATAACTACTACATAGATTAAACAGACCTCGATATTGATGACTATTCACAACGAGTGTAGGTAAAATGGTTACATCACCACGTGTTCCTTTTCCAATCTACAGAATTTCCACTTCTCAGGCATCTTATATGATGATTATTATTATAATATAAAAATGCGCAAAAAAATAAATTAAATACTGACTTGGGCATCCTGCTCTTCTTTCAAAACAGGATTTTCCACATCGGCATCGGGGTCTCCCATGCATTTTTCAATTTTTTTCAGATCAAGCCCTGATAAAAAAAATGCAAAGCAACCTTACATACGATTATCACAAAATTAAAAAGACTTGTCTATGACGAAAAAAAATATAAACATTTTAATTACCCAAAGACTTAATAACACCCTCAGCACAATCCTTATTATACTTCTTCTCCTTCATGGGGCATCTAATTTGGAAATCCGTAACGTAATCCCACCACACCCACGGCTTCTGCGTCTCGTTCGCCACTCTAAAAACACACAACTGCCTCAAATTCTCAAGAACCACATCTTTCCCATCATAACCAGAGCTAAAATCCTCTTCAGGATCCGGCGCACAATATCTACCATGGTTAAGACACTGAGACTTGCACTGTTTGCTAACAGTGAACGCCTGAGGGCAATACCAAGTTATATAGTGAGGCGTAAACTGAGTGTAACCGCCTTTTTCGAGAACTTGGGCAGCACCTTTGAAATCCTTCAAGAAATTCATCAACATATCGCATTTAACTCCACACTCGTCGTTGCTGTTAGTCCACAGCTCGTATTCCACTCGGTCGTCGGGGTGGGGTACAGCTTCTCTCCAGTCGAGATTTACGTTGACCATTTCACCATCGGTGACTGCTTTCTTTAGCTTTTCGCCGAAGCTTTTGTCGATTAGTGCAGATGGGATTGTTATGTTTGCGATGTATTTTGCAGATGCACCGCTCTCTTCGGGTGTGTCCATTGTTATCAGTGCTTCGTCGAGGTTGTCTGCCACTAGTACTGCAGCTGCACCGGCGTTTTGGGCATTCCATACCTTCAATGCGAAAAAGCAATCTGCAGCACACGTGCAAGTTGTCAAATAATTTTTACAATTAACCTAAAATAACTCAAACCAAAAGGATCCCTTTTCTACAATCACACGTGTGAACGAAAATGTGGCACAAACACAGAAATCATTACAAGAGTGCATCCAATCCAACTTAAGTTATAGGCAATACATGGATCAAGAGAAAATTAATCAAGATTCAACAAAGGTGGAAAATCATGATTTTCTAAATTTCGACTGATAGCTAAGTTTTACAAGTAATCATAATTGAGTTCAACACCGTGAGACAACATGTTCAATTAAACCAAAATCCCACCACCATAGGATTACCTTAACAGTCTTAAAAACCTCAAAAGGAAAAACTACAAATGTAAGACAAAATAAATCCCTTGAAATTCGAAGAGTTCTCCAACCATATAATATAGCTAAATAAATGAAATTGCCCAAGTGCTAACTTAACTAACACGCGAAAATGAAATTATCTGAACTAATTAAAAGAGTAGGCCTAAAAATCAAACAAAAAGACCTAAAACAAGCCAAGCCGGTGAACTAAAATTAAAGAAAGCAAATTCAAATTCCAACCCCAAATTAGCAAATTAACTAGGTCGATTATTAAATTGAAGCCACAAAAGGGGGAACAGTACTAAGAACTTAACTAAACCAGTAAATTTGGGGGAAACTGTAACCAAAAACAAAATTAAAAAAATAAATAAATAAAGATGTACCTCCACGATCAACAAGAACAAAATTAGGCAAAGCACCAGCCTTAGCCTTGAACGAAATCCCAAAATCATCAAAATTTTTGCATCCCTTCTTATTATCCTTTGGGTACAACACGGTGCCGGACATACTTCCCCCATACTGAGGAATTCCGAAGTTTCCAATGGCACTATCGTGATTTCCCTTAATACTCTCCGGCGAAATCACCCTCAAACTGTTCTTCTCCACCACAAACCGACCCGCCGCTAATTCCGCCAGAATTAGCAGCGAAAACCCAAGCAAAACTGCTGCTTTTGATCTCTCGGAGCACCCCATTTTCCTAATTTTTTTTTCTTTTTTTGCTTGGACTTCCCGAAGAAGCAAGAGAAGTCCGGATTCGCTGTTTAGATTTTTTGGGGATTTTTTTTTGAACGTTTTTTCCTAAATTTTCTGGGGGTTTTGTGAATGTATACTGAAACACGCGAAATGTGTGTGTTTCTCTGTGTGTGTGTGTGTGTGTGAGAGAGAGAGAGAGACTTTGGGGCGGTGTGTGAGACTTGAAAAAGACGGATATCTGTGTAAATTATACTTATTTTAAAAAATAAAAAAATGTAAATTATATAATTTAGTGATTTTTTTAGTAAGGGGAATTGAATTTTAGTACATATTTGACAATTTTATAATTGGGACTTGTCTGTTTTATGTCGTGAAAAAAATTAATATTATTATTTAGTTGCTTAATATATAAAATATAGAAAATTAAAAAATAGGCACTTTATCCAAGAAATAAATAGTAATGTATGGGATAGAGTATCGAATATGATATTTTATTGAGAGAAGATGAATTTATGGTTTTGCAGATGCTATACCCGATGAAATATATCGAGTGATCCTGAACCATTAATTTACACATAATAATACAAAAACTAATATAAATATATGAGTGTCTTTAATTGTATTTATCTATGGCGCAGAATCATTCGATGTTTTTCATCAGGTGTAACGTCTCGTAGACCTTGAATTGACATATGAATTAGGTGCAAAATAAACTGTGATCTTCTTGGTCCCTCTTCAGTCTTCATTGACCTCTCAATTTTTTGGAGGATGAAAAGAAAAGTAAAATGTAAGTGTAAATTTCAATACTATTTTTTATTCATTAAACTTTTTATATTATAAATAATTTATCATGAAATAAAATATTAATATTATGTATAAAAAAATTAAAAATTAAAAAGAAATAAAAGAATAAGAGCTGAGCTCGACAAGCTCCACGAGTTCACCAACTTTTCCTTGAGCTCGAGTTTGAAAAGTTTGGCGAGTTCAGCTCATTTACACTAATCTAAGAATTTGATGGGCTCAAGCTCATAATTAAAGCCCAAATTCACTAAAAATTCAAAAGTCTATATATGAAATTTGAATTACTTGTGGGTTTTCTTTAATTTATATGTGGGCCTCTAAGCCATTATTAAATTAATCAAACCAACGAATAGGTTATTGTTAGTCAAATTAAATTAATTCACTTTTAATTATAATAATTCTTGTGTACTTTAAAATTTTATTTTTTTAATTTAAATAATTGTTATTCAAGAAAATGTGTGATATCCAAAAAAAAAAAAAAAAAGGCCACGTCACTGATCGAATTACACGTCACTAATATTTATTTACATAATATTTTTTGATTACATATAAGACGACTCGTTTAATTAATTTAATCACGTTCGAAAGCCAAAGCAGCGTTCCTCTCAACATGGCTCAACAAAATCCCATAAATCTTATCCCGCACCCTCCCACAGGCGATCCCACCTTCCGATTCTCCGAAATTGCTATTGCCACACCCCGAACCTCTATTGGCAGCAAACACACTCAACCAATCACTCACCATCTTCACTTTATACATCATCACCGCCACCTCACGCTCATTGTCACAACCAATCAGCGCGCTCCTTTTGTCCACCTCATCAAGGTACTTCTCCACGTAGCTCAAAAACAGCTTCCTGTATTCCTCCAGCAACGACCCCGCCAGCTCAGCAGCCGGGCCCATCGTGCTCCCCTTACTCCACTCCGCCTTACTATTCTCCTTTTCCGAAGAAGCCAATATTAATCGAATATTATTATTAGTATTAGTATTAGTATTATTATCTGCATTGACGCTTCTCTTATTCTTTTTAATTACGCAAACGCCCTTCGGTTTCGACGGGCTCGTTTTGGTGGGGCCCACGGGGGTTAAAATTGTGGGCCCCGCTTGAGCGGGCGCGGTTTGGAGATCGAGGGCCACTGCGGATTTTATCCATTTGATTGCATTTTTCTTGCGTTCGAGCGCGAGGTTTAGTGTCTCCCTGACGGAATTAGTGGTTGTGCAATTCGATTCCGTTTCTTCGTTATTTCTAAACGGGGTTATGCTTGTTAATGACTGCATTATCAATCTCGTTCGAGCTAAATCTTCTTGAAGGTCGAAGAATTTATCCACATGTGGCTGAAGATCGTCTCCTTCCACCAAAGGGAACTGCGATAACGTGCTGCGAAATTCGATAAAATAATTGTAATTAAGCTCAATAATTACCCAATATATATAAGTTTAATTAAACAATAATTACCTTAAGGAGTTGAGCAATCTCTCCGAAGCACAAGCCTCTTGTAGAGCATCGGCTGCAGCCAATAGGGCAACGTCTCGTTGCCTTACGACCTCCTACATATTATTACATTTCGACGAAAAACGTAAACTAATTAATTAATTACTCGTTTTGTTTTATATTTGCAAAATTATACATACCTTGCCAAATTTCACTAAATTGGATGGAAGTGAGCTCCACGAAATTCCGTTTTCGGCCCCTTTTCTTTCGTACACTAAACTAGTGCACAACGAATTCGAAACCGGCTCATCGTTCGCCTTTGGTGCATTATTACTATTATTCTCTTGGCCAATTTTGTTGGAATTTTTAATTAATCTCTTTGGCGAACCGCTACTTAATCTTCTTCTCGATATCGTACTCGAATTGTCATCCGAGCTGTCGTACCTCACCGAACGAACTGGCGAAGCCTATACATCATCAATTCACAACCATTAATCAACAATTAATAAATAAACACTTTCATAAATAAATATACAAAAAAAAAAAAAACTGACATTTGCGCTACGGCAGCGAGGTGGAAGCTTAATCTCGTGTCTAACAACAGAAGAATCGAAAATTTCCTTAGCTCCGACGATTTCCGATTCGTTCCAGCTCCGTCTCTTCGCAAAATGATGAGTTTTTTAAGCCACAACATCAACATCGCTATCGTTATCGACGGTACTAACAGGCCTACTTTTTGCCCAAATTACCCCCGCATCGTTACAAGAATTAATTTTCTCGAAATCTCGTGCCCTAATTTCTCCCCGGCGAGATTTCGAGACGACGCCCTTCAATCCCTCGATTCTTCTACCGCAATACGACGACGCTTCGGAATCGGAAGAGTTACAATGCGCCGATTTCGATCCCGAGATTTTCTTCTCCAGGATTACACCCTTTTCGACGACGGAGTCGACAGTGGAAGCTTGTAGAAGCTTCGATAGATTCGACTGAGAGACGATGTCTTCGGGGTTTCCTTCGCAGCGGCGGCGCCCCGGGATGGGGGTGACGCCTCTGAGCAAGGGTACGGGGTGGGAATTCTCTAATTTTGACACGTGTATGAGTTGGCCGAGTTTGAGTTTGTTGGAGAGGATCAACTCGTTCTGTTCGTCGGAGAGAGACGCGTAGAGCGCGTGAGATGAATCGGAGACTTGGAGGAAGAAGCCTCTGTTGGGAAACAGATCGCCTTCTTCTAGAACGGGTATTATGCTTCGGATCTGTAATATTACGGGCTCGTCGGCCGTTCTGGTTTCGCCGCCGCCGCCGCCGGCGAGGAGCTGTAAGAGAACACCTTCTTTTAAAGAATGCATTTTTATTTAACTATAAAAAAATACCCAATTTGATTATGGGTTTGGAAATTATGAAGGGAAAAAAATAATTAAAAAAAAAAAAACCCCACTGAAAATAAGGAAAATATGAGGCGGTGAAAGATCAAAAACCCAGTAATTTTCCGTTTTAGTAGCGATTGCAGATGAAATTATCCGTTGGTTTTTTATGCATTATTTTTTTATTTTTTTTAATAACTCTGCAAGAGACGAGGACAGGTGGCTAAGTTAGGGTTTCTTAGGTTAGGATTATACGTGCATGTGCATGGAGTTCACAGAATCACGACTAATTTAGGGTTTCTTAGATTACGGACATTGACTACAACTAAGTATAGATTTACAGATTTATCAAATAAAAAAATAAAATAAAAAATAAAGAGAGAGAGTACATATTCATACTTAAAAAAAAAAAAAAAAAGAGTACATATTCATAGCATTTGATTAAATTAGTATAAATTAGACTCTTGGGATTTATAAAAATATAATTTAAATTTTATATCAAATTACCTAATTGTAATTCCCAAACATTGTTTAAATTATATTACAAAATCTTCTGGACTCAATTAGTAAAATAATTGGTAAGAAGTTCGAACGTAGATCAATTAGCACAGACTCACTTGTTCCAATCGCTAGGTCATTCCTTGTTGGACGATCTGCTATATATACTGAATTTACTATATATATGTAATATGATTATAATCTTCTGAATTCCATTTTAGCAAATTAATTATGATAATATTGTATTGTATAGTATTTGTAATCTACTCACTGTTGTTTCAGAAAAGAAAAAAAATAAGACTTAGTATTAGATTTATTGAATGTCGAAAATACTCTGTAATTTTTTTGGATTAATTAGTCATTAGCATTATTTCTTAAAATATGACCATACATGGTAACTATTATAGGCATATGAGAATCAAAATTAAGATTAAGTATGTTTGGATTAACTATCATGCATATATAACAAAATAAATAAATGTTATTTATTTATTTGGATTATATATATATATTGATTGGATGGTAACTATTAGAACCAAACTAGGATTCTATCAATAACGAAAAACTGAATTTTTTTATTTCTGTTTTTACAACCTGGTTTTATGAACTGTTACAATACATTACGCAACAGTAAAGAAAAATTAAATCTGACATAAATAATTAAAATTTACACGAAATAAATTGAATTGTTTAATTTGCAAATAGCTTCGGATCGGATAGAGTATGCGTGAACGGTATAGTAGGGGTTGATTGCTCAATGTCAACAGTTGGATCGTGATGATGCTAAAATGTTTAGATCACCTGGGGTGGTGTAGAAAATGAACTGGGAGAGCAAAGCAGATCAGTAGCTTGACAACTTGATGATCCTGAGGTACCTGCGATCATAAAACACATGAACTAAGCCGGGGGTTGATCCGGCGGAAACCCCTCCGACGCTCAAGTCAGACGTGCTGATCATAGAAATAGTACAGAGAATACAGTTAATAGTATTGCTCAGATAATAGGACGTACCTTAATAAAATGAGTAAAACCTCTATTTATATGTCGTTTATTGGGTTGGTTTGCTTTGTTGGGCCCAAGCCTTACTTGAAGGTGTTTGGGCCTCGGTGATATTGGTCTTCGATATTGGGCTCGTAGCCCAGTAGGTAAAGAAATTGTAGGCCCATTGGGTTGGCCCAATTAGGCATATCATTAAGCCCCCCACTCTCGAGTCGATGTGGGGGCCATGTAGTGATGGGTCTCAGATCGTGTCGAGAGTAAAAATTGTAGAAGTCGATCGTTGGCGTATGGCCTAATGGTATGCGAAAACGCGTTGGAGCGTGTGTCGGAGGGGTGTGAATGCGCGTTGGCACATAGCGCGACAAAGTTGCCGCGATATAAGTTAATTGAGTCGTCGGTTTTGTCCCGCGACGATGTAGTAGCGAATTATCTCCTCGTGGGAGTTGTCTTGTCGCGGGGTAATAGTGTTGATCGAGTTATCTCCTCGTGGGAGTTGTCTCGCGATAATGTAGTAGCACGGATCAAGTAATCTCCTCGTGGGAGTTGTCTCTGGGGTAATCGAGTTGATCGAGTTACGTCCTCGTGGAAGTTGTCTCACGATAATGTAGTAGCACGGAGCTAGTATTCTCCTCGTGGGAGCTGTCTCTGGGGTAATCGAGTTGATCGAATTACGTCCTCGTGGAAGTTGTCTCACGATAATGTAGTAGCACGGAGCTAGTATTCTCCTCGTGGGAGTTGTTATTTTTCGACATTTTCAATGTTTTGACGCGTTGCTTGTATGTGTTTACATATAGCCTTCTGCGTGATGTACTTGAGGAGGGGATCAGGCTCTCAAGATTTTTATATGGGGATCGTGCCCTTTGTTAGACCTCGTGGGTCGTAAGTATGTTTGGACCGTGGCCACGTTTTAATGAAGGACCCATCGAAAACAAGTAGATAAATTTGAGTAATCAAGCTGGCCAGGCTATATAGATTCCCATAATATTTCTAAGTGTTTCTAGGGTCGTAATCGTGCTATCTTGAGCTTGCGATTATATATTGAATTTCGGGCGAGTTGTCTCCTCATGGGAGTTGTCTCGCAACGGGTTGTGGAACAGAGCGAGTGGACTCCTCGTGGGAGTTATCTCGCTGTAGTTTTGAGACCAGAGAGGGTTGGCTCCTCGTGGGAGTTGTCTCGCAACGGGCTATAGGACGGAGCGAATGATCTCCTCGTGGGAGTTATCTCGCTGTGGTTTTGAGACCCGATGGGGTTGGCTCCTCGTGGGAGTTGTCCCGCAACGGGCTATAGGACGGAGCGAATGGTCTCCTCGTGGGAGTTATCTCGCCGTGGTTTTGAGACCCGAGGGGGTTGGCTCCTCGTGGGAGTTTCCTTGTAAGGGGTTGTAGGATCGAGCGAGTTATCTCCTCGTGGGAGTTGTCTCGCGGCGGGTTGTATTACTGCGCGAGTTGGCTCCTCGTGGGAGTTGCCTCGCTGCGGGTTCGTGGGCCCGAGGGAGTTGACTCCTCGTGGGAGTTGCCTCGCAACAGGTTATATGACTGAGCAAGTTATCTCCTCGTGGGAGTTGTCTCGCTGCCGGTTGTAGTACCGAGCGAGTTGGCTCCTCGTGGGAGTAATCTCGCTGCGGGTCATAGGATGGAGCGAGTGGTCTCCTCGTAGGAGTTGTCTTGCAAGCCCCCCACTCTCGAGACGATGTGGGAGCCAAGTCGAAAGGGGTATCGGATCGTATTGAGAGTAGTTCGGTGCTGCAGTCTTGCGTTAATCGTTGGCATGGCGTGGATAAATAATTTTTTTTTTATTTGATAGCGAACGCAATTTGGTAGGTACGTTAAAGAGCTCGCGCAATTTGGTGGAGCGCGTTGAAATTCTCGTGCGATTTGGTGAAGCGAGTCAAAATCTACGCGCAATTTGGTGGAGGACGGTGAAAATTCCGCGCGAATAGGTCAGCAACAGTAGGTGGGCGCGCGCTTTGATGCTGGGTAGGTGGGAGCGCGCGCTTTGAAGCTGGGGTGGGGAGGGTGGGGCGCGCTGTAGGTCCCACGCGGGCGCATGCCACGCACGCGCGGAGAAATGAGCAAAGGCGCGTGCTTTGGACGCGCGGAGGGGGAGAGAGTGCGGGCGCGTGCACTGCACGCGCGAAGGGGAGAGGCGCTGGCGCGTGCGGCGCACGCGCGGTGAGAGGGGGTGTGCAGTCATGCTGCGCGCGTGGCGCGTGGGAGACACGCGCAGTCAAGCAGCTTTTCTCACTTTTTTTTTTTTTTGTCTTACTCCCGCGCGCGGATCGAGGCGCCTTTTGCAGATGTGCGCTGCCCCCAAGCGCGCGTGCTTTGCACGCGCTGCCTCCAAATTATTATTTTTTTTTTATTTTTTTTTTTATTTTTTTTTTTGCTTCCAGCGCGCGCGCAAACCGAGGGCGGCGCGCGCGTGTGCTGCACGCGCGCGTGATTTTTTCAGCACTTTTCACTTTTTTCTTTTATTTTTTCATCTTCTTTTTTATTTTTCTTGTATTTTTTCTTCTTCTTCCTTCTTCTCTTTTTTCATTTCTTCTTTTTTTCTTCTATTTTTTCATCTTCTTCTTTTTTTTTTTCTTGTTCCTTTCTTCTTTATCTTTTTTTTTTTTTTTTTTTTAGGTGGTTGATGTTCACCCCTTTGGGGATGTTCTACTTTTTAAGTAGGGAGATTATACTCGTCTCTTGAGATGGGATGTGTACCCACTTGGGGTTGAAAGGTAAGGGTGATGCCCGCCTTGGGATGGGGATGTTCTATTTTTTGAGTAGGGAGATTATACTCGACTCTTGAGATGGGATAATCCCCTACTTTAGAATGAGGCGCTCGAGACCTATGGTCTGAGGTGGATGCGCACGGTTGTGCTATTGCTTCAGTGGCAACACGAGTTGAAACTTTCGCGGTCGTACGCTGAAGGTCCTCATCGATTATTTGAACCGTTAGAGGAGCAAGTAGAATTTGATCTTGTTGAAGGTTCGGCGATCATACGCTGAAGGTCCTCTTCGGTTATCTGAACCGTTCGAGGTGGGCAGAGGTAGACCCCCATGGGGTCGATAACCCTTTGTGAGCGAAGTATTTTTGGGGCACTATAAACCCCCAGGTTTTATGTTGACTTGAGCTAATAATTATGATGTTGAAAGAGCGATAACACCGAGAGTATAGAAAATAACTAGCTTTATTCATTGATCGAAAAGGTGAAGTTTCGAGCCTACTTGAGGCGAAGGTAAATAAACAAGTAGGGAGCGAATCGCTCGAAATAAATAAACTTGTACTAAGTAGATGATGTAAGTGTTTCCCTCAATTGATGTCGAGAGGTGAGGGGATGTATCATCCTTAAGGTATGATAGTCCCCCAGTTTAGGATGATGTGCTCACGAACAATGTTATGGGCTCGATAGACTCCAAGTGTCATTGACATCATTGGAAGTATAAGAAGATTATCAATGAGATGTTGACGATTGTCATCGGCCATCTCGTCGCCGGGTGTTGAAGTAATCTTCATCTCTTTTTCTCTTGGGAGGAGGGAGGGCCGAAGCCTCTTCAATGCGCACGTGTTTCTCAGCGCGACTTAGTAACTCTTCCAGAGTGGTTGGAGGTCTTCCTGCAATAGATTCATTGAATCTACCTTCCTTCAAGTTTTGTTGAATGATTCCAGCGAGCATGCTTCCCCCCCACGTTAGGAACTTTGTGAGATGCCTCTACAAATCGTTGAATGTAGTTGCGGAGGGTCTCGCCCTCTCTCTGGGTGATAGTGAAGAGGTACGCGAACTCTTTGTTGATAGCGAAATGGTGGGTGAAGCGATCTGTTAGTTGGGAGAGAGCTTCAATTGACCCAGTGGGCAAGGAGTTGAACCAGCTCAACGCTCGTTCGGAGAGCGTTATGCGAAACATCTTGCACATTGCCGCATCAGTTGGGCCATATAGATCTGCCATGGCGTAGAACTTTTCAAGGTGCTCCTGTGGGTCACCAGTTCCATCGAACTGCGGTAGACTCGAGACCTTTACCCGTTGGGGTAGTATCTCATTGATTATTGCGACAGTAAAGGGATTGTGCCTTATTGGAGGTATTGTCCTTCCACCAATGGTATTACCTGTGTGGGGAAGGTGATTTGAGCGAGATAGCTAACCGCTAAGTTCAATCTCTCCACCATTGTGTGGAGGAGCTCGTTGGTGAGAGGTGTTGCCTCTTGAAGGTGAACGTCGGTCTCGTCGCTCAGTTCGTGCATCTTGGCGATGAGTAGATTGCTGCATTCGGGACTGTGGGTCCGAGGTAGAGGAGGAGACACTTATTTGGTTCTGGACTGGCGGTGGTGCCATAGGTGGCTCCACAGGTGGAGCAGGTGCTGGTATCGCGTTGGGAGCATTTGCTCCCATCGTGGCGATATATTGGGTCACGGCCTCTATGGCAGCGCGAGTTGAAACTTCTGCTATCATGCGTTGGAGCGCATCCTCGGTTATTTGAACCATTCGAGGAGCAGGGAGTGGTGGATCGGCGAGTGGTGGGTCCCGATGGGGGATCACCTGAACCTCGCGAGGCGGATCCATGGGACGTGGAGGAGGTGGCAAACCAGAGCCTCCACGAGGTGGGAGGTCGTTAGCTGTGTCATTTTCTCTTCGAGCAGACGCCTCAGGAGGATCTTGTTGGCTACGTGATCTGGTTTGCATCGTTCCCACAGACGGCGCCAAAATGATGATGCTAAAATGTTTAGATCACCTGGGGTGGTGTAGAAAATGAACTGGGAGAGCAAAGCAGATCAGTAGCTTGACAACTTGATGATCCTGAGGTACCTGCGATCATAAAACACATGAACTAAGTCGGGGGTTGATCCGGCGGAAACCCCTCCGACGCTCAAGCTAGACGTGCTGATCATAGAAATAGTCCAGAGAATACAGTTAATAGTATTGCTCAGATAATAGGACGTACCTTAATAAAATGAGTAAAACCTCTATTTATATGTCGTTTATTGGGTTGGTTTGCTTTGTTGGGCCAAAGCCTTACTTGAAGGTGTTTGGGCCTCGGTGATATTGGTCTTCGATATTGGGCTCGTAGCCCAGTAGGTAAAGAAATTGTAGGCCCATTGGGTTGGCCCAATTAGGCATATCAGATCGTGTGATAAATATTGTTACGGAACGAGCATATGTAAAGAGTTATGTCGCCTCTTATTGCACTATGGATTGAACATAACGTCAAATCTTGTAGATGCTACCATTATTGTGAATTTAATTTTGTTACGTTTCAAAATAAATCAATTTATTTTGCTTTGTTTCGAAAAATTAAAATAGTATGAGGACGAGTAACAATGAGATAAATGAGACTTTCGACCAACTGTCAACATCACGCTAATCTGTAGGACAATAGGCCCATTACACGCTAATCCGTGGGATAGTTAAAGTCAACAACCTCGACTTTTTTGCAATTTTACCAATTTCACCCAAACAGCCCTCTACCTTTTCAGAAACTTATACGCAATCGGAGGATAAAAATGTCATTACGCATAATTTTATTTATGTTGGCAAAACGAGGCCTTGAAAAGGTATTGGGCCGACTTTCATAACAGTCCAGCCTTAAAAAGGTATATGGGCTTATACTTATCCATATCATTACAAAATACAGTAAATAGCACTTAACCCCCTGTAGTTTGAGTTTTGTGAATATGATCCCCTAATACTTTCAATATAAGCACATGACCCCCTTATAGTTCAAACTTTGAGCATACAACCTTCTTATACTTTTAATATAATCACACAAACCCCCTATAGTATTCCACTTTGTAAATAATCATGTTCATTAGGAAAATAATTTTTTTGAAAGAAGGGAGTTACGTGCTTAAATCAAAATACAAGGGAGGCTTATATGTACTGTATTGAAAGTATAAGGGGTCATGTGCACAAAATTCAAACTAAATGGAGATAAGTGCTATTTACCTATAATTTTATTTACAAAAATCTCACAAATAGATCTATGTAAGATTTTTAGGAAATAAATAATAATTAGTTTTAATGACTTTATCAGTATATAATCACTGCCACAAGCACCAATCATTACAAATAATTTCCACATCACAAATGGGAAAGCTTCTGTATTCAATTTTGGGTCTCCTACTCCTCTCCACTCTAATATCTGGTACATGAATTTTAGTTTTCATTTCATTCAGCTACTTATATTGTATTTTAATTTATATTTCAACAAAAAAAAAGTCAATTAATTGTTGATTATTTGATTTTTTTAATTAAAAAAACATATGTAGTTGCATTATAATAAAAATTGATAGTTTTGAATTTAATTGTTTACACTTGACAGATAGTCTAGGGGATAGAAATGTATGTGTGAATAATATAGTAGGAGTGGAATGTTACGTGTCGATAAAGGGATCGTGCGATGGACTGTGCGGTGGAGCTTACGGAGGAAACTATATCGGCGGCGATTGCATAATTGACCAATATAACGTCCGCTCTTGTAGATGTTCCTATTATTGTTGACCCCAAATGCAATTTTATTTAATTGAAATTTACTTTAGGGGCTCCAATAAAATAATTGCGAAATTTCATTTTTCTTTCTGCTTCCTTTTTCTAATTAATTAATAAAATTATTGATTTTCTGTTATAAGATAATATTTAATTGATTTTTTTAATTAAATTTTTTTTCGTGTGCGATGCGCGGGATAACATTTCAACACTAAAATTCAGAGAAATAATAGAGAAAATAAAATAAAATAAATAATAATTTGACTTCAATTTAAAACAACAAGTTAACAGCTAGATTCCAGACATTAACAAAGAAGATGCTGGTGAGAAGCTACATTTCAAATTTTCAAATTTGTCTTCTGTTATGTTAATTACTTAATTGAGGTTTCGTTTCAAACTAAGCATCTTCCTAATAGTGCTCAATTGGTGCACTTCAAATTAAGTCAAATTTTAAAACGTGGTGGTCAACGCCAGCTGTGATAACGAGCATGTGTTTTATTTTTTAATTTGATTATGAAAATATAGCCGCCACATAATTGTTGGATTACTATGCAAATTGCAAAAGGTCAAAATCAATTCATGAAAAGCGGTCAAAATCAGCCAATTCTTATCTGCGAGCTAATCTGTGGATGAGCTTTGACAATTAAAAGTCAACAATTTTGACTTTTTTGCAATTTTCCAATCGAATTTTACCCAAACAGACCCCTACCTTTTTTCAGAAAATTATACTCAATCGGAGGGTACAAAAGTCATTACGCGTATCCACTACCCCTGGTTTCCCATCGTTTTCAGCTAAGCTGACCAAACAAACCAGTATATAAATTCATATCGGCCTTCTGTAAGTTTAACAAATCACATTTTATCTACTTCAATTAGCAAAGCACTTAAGAAATCTAAATCACCCGCCGCCGCCGCCGCCGCCACCCGTTGCTTGAAAATGGAAGGCTTGATACCGTTCCTCCTCCGCGCCGTGAAGAAGCAGAAGCCGCAAAATGTTTACCGCTCCCTGTCGGAGAACTCCATCGGCCGAAGCTACCACCTCCTCCTCGCCGGAGATTCCGTCGACGGATCCTCCCACCGCCGCACCCGATCCGATTTCCAGCCGCCGCAGACCTCAGCCGGTTACTTGTCTTCGGCTTCCCCGCCGCTGAGTGCCGAAAATGGCTTGAGGCAGAGGGGTTTTGCTTCTGCCAAGCATTACCAAGTTTCCGCTAAATAGAAATGAAATTATAAAATATGGAATATTTTGTTGAATAATTAGATTGTGCTATTTATTATTATTTTGTGTGTTAAAATTAAACAAGTGTAAATTCTTCAATTTCCAGCATAATGTATACATTTAATTAATTACTAGTGATTCTTTGAAAGTGTTGTGTTTGTTTAAGTATGAGTCTTTAAATTACTATTCTAATTAAATTAGGCACAAAATAAAATAAAATAAAAAAATAAAAAAACCAAAAAAAAGATGTTATTAGAGGGTAAAACAGTAAATATCTATATTTTCAGAGACCAACAACCGGTTAACTGAGAAAAAAGGAAAAAGAAAAAAAAAAAAGAAAACCCTAACAAATTCGAACTGCGAATTTTTAACGAACTCCGGCGATGGCGTACAAATCAGTATTCGACGCTTCCGCCATTAAATCGGAATTCGAGAGCGCGGGCCTAAACCCTAATTTCGTGCCCGTAATCTGGAAGCACATCTTGAAGAACCCTAATTGTCGCCGATGGGACGAAATCCCGTCTTTGCCCTCAGCAGCTTACTCTCTCCTCGAATCCAAGTTCAAAATCTGCACTTCCACTCTCCACTCCGCCGTGAATTCCTCCGACCAGGTCACCACCAAGCTCATCATCAAATTGAAGGTATATAATAAACTCGCGTTTTGTTTTTCGGCTTAATTTTGTTTTGTTTATAGCTGAAAGCTTCCATCTGAATGAAATGAAATTAACTTGAACTTTAAATGTCTTTATATACACATAATGCGTACAACGGATGTATATATGTTGATGGTTGTTATCGGGTAATATGTGGACTATAATACCCTTGGCTCCATTTTTCGTTGCTAGAATGGAGAATTTGTTGAGGCTGTGATAATGCGATATGATTCGCGATTGGGTATATGTGACGGAAAGCCTCGTTCCGGTGGTCCGAGGTCAACTTTGTGCGTATCTTCTCAGGTACTCGATAAAAAAATGTGTTGGTCAAATGGCATTATTGTTAATTTAAGTGTTGAGATGACTTGCTCTGTGTTCTGTCTGAATACTAATGGTTTAACACTTTATTTTTTTCCGAATTTAGGTCGGGTGCAAAATGGGTTGCAATTTCTGTGCAACGGGAACCATGGGATTCAAGAACCACCTTTCAACCGGAGAAATTGTCGAACAATTAGTACATGCTTCTCGGATATCTGTTATTCGGAATATTGTTTTTATGGTACCGTCCTCCCTACTTCACTATGTTAATGTAATTATTTCGGAATTTATTGGTTGTTAAGTAGGAACTGAATTATTTTGAGAATGTTGTTGAAGTAACGAACTTTTCATGTGTTTTTAATCTGCACTTGGAGTTTTTGTCGTAGCCGTAGGTAGGTATTATAAATGTGGTTGATCATACGTCTAAATTTAGCCAAAAAACGAACCATGTTTGATGAAACAACTGCTTCAAATGTTTTTGCTTATCCTCAAAATCGAAACAAGATTGTCTCGTTTGGTAATTGCTGTGCGGATTTGTGGTTGATAATTAATCTTTTCGTGATTATTTGTTCGACAGGGAATGGGAGAGCCACTGAATAACTACTCTAACGTGGTGGAAGCGATAAGAGTTATGACAGCTCCTCCATTTCAGCTGTCACCGAGGAAAATTACTCTCTCGACGGTGCGATACAATATCTCGTTTTCTTTGCTAGATACTTATTTTTTTCGTTTTATTTTTATTTTTCATATAGCATACTTATACCATCTTAAATATTCAGGTCGGCATAATCCATGCCATTAGCAAGCTGCACAAAGACTTACCAGGAATTAATCTAGCAGTTTCGTTGCACGCACCGTTACAAGAAATCCGCTGTCAAATAATGCCAGCTGCTAGGGCGTTCCCTTTGGAAAAATTAATGAATACTTTGCGAGAATATCAAACTAACAGGTTTTTTTTTTACTATTTTATTTTATATTCTTTAAGCTGCAATCTCATTATTTTGCCTAGATTACAATTTCCCCAAAATATTTATTCATTCGGTTTCTTCTGTAGTCAGCAGAAAATATTTATTGAGTATATAATGCTCGATGGAGTGAACGACGAAGAGCAGCACGCCCACCAGCTCGGAAAATTGCTGGAGAATTTGGAATCTGTAAGCTTTTTTTTTACACAACAAATTCTGCTCTACATTCCAATAGACAAAATCCTAATTTCGATTTACGCTTGAATTTCCGACAGGTTATAAATTTGATTCCTTTTAATCCGATTGGTTCTTTGAGTTCCTACAAAACTAGCATTGATATGAAAGTCACGAAATTCCAGAAGATTCTAAGAGGCACTTACAACATCCGAACAACAGTTCGGAAGCAAATGGGCCAAGATATAAGTGGTGCATGCGGTCAACTAGTGGTCAATCTTGCGGATAAGATATCGTTGAACAGTGCAAATCTCTTGCCCGACATTGAAGATCTCCGTATTTGATATCTCAGGTTATACGTGCACACCGTTTTATTAGGTCATAAAACAATGTATCATTTTTTTTAAGTGTTTTCAAAATCCGTTTTGGCTTGCGGTATTCGATTTTGCTCTAATTTGGTGTGCTTGAAATTATAAATTATATAGGATTGCAGAAGAGCGAAATGGAGTTTGTCATTTTTTACGAGAGTCTGCATAAAAACACGACAATGGATAAATTATATCGATGCCATTGAATTGTGGACTAGAATCTTCGACGTTTAAATTCCCAAGTTAACGAGGAAAATATGTCAAGTAGCCTTTTGCTAGGTCATAATGCATTTTGACCTAATTTTGTAACATCAGCTGTTTTATGGATTGTGCTAAGAAAATTTGCTCTGTTCTTCCAAGTTGTTTTGATAGATGCATAGATTTGAAGTGAAGTTTAATTTGATAGACAATAGCAGTTCCCCTGTTCGAACTTTGTGCACATGACCCCCTTGTACTTTCAATATATCAGACGACCCCCTTGTATTTTCATACAAGCATTTAACCCGTTTGTATTTTAAAAATATTCTTCTTCCTATTTAGCATGATTATTTACGAAGTGGAATACAATAGGGGGTGATGTGTTTATATTAAAAGTACAAGGGCGTCATGTGCATACAGTTCAAACAACAGGGGTTAATTGCTATTTACCCAAAGAAATATGTGCAATTTACCTACCCAATATTCAAAAATATATTTTAGTATTCTTTTGGTTTGACACTCCGAGTGTGGCAAATCAGCATCAAATACTTTTTTCCAAAATAATAAACCATATATATTTTTATGTATCCTGGATCCTGATTGGCAAAGATTTTTAAATCCTCATAAACCATATATTACTTATTTGATTTGTAATTGGCAATATGTTTAGGAATAATTGCACTATAAAAAACAATTGACAAACTGCAACTTCAAATTCAGAATAAGCAATATAAAACTAATTAGCTAATTTCATAGCAATATAATGGCAAAGCTCTTAGGATTATTTCTGTTTGTCACAGTCTTCATTACACTCCTCTCCGGTAATTCCTCAAACAATTTATTTTTATTTCAACCGTTAATTCTATGCTATATTCAATGTATTTCATACATGCGTATGTTTTTCATCAGATGTAGCATCTGAAGGATAAAAAACAAGTCGGATAATTTTCCAACTTAAACTTGTTATTATTCAGTTTTTTTTTTTTTTTTTTTTTAATTTTGTAGGTACTTTGGGTTATGGAAAACTATGTCCAGTGGATTTGATTGGATTTGACTGTGTACTGGGGGTAGAAGGGTCATGTGACTCAGTTTGTGCAATCAATTTTGGTGGTTCAAGAATTTCTGACACCGAGTGCATAATGGGTAGAAGAGTCCCATTCTGTAGATGTTATTTGAAGTGTTAGTTATTTCTTTAAAATAAATGTCACCCTTTAATTTTGCAAGGGGATCATTATTAATCAATAAAATCATTAGAAATTACAAATAATTTATTTAGTTAGTAGAGAATGGATACAAATCCGACCTTGTTTGGTTGCCAATATAACATTAATCAAGATAAGACTAAATAATTTAATTAAGGGTTAATATTGAAGACACCCCTCAAACCAAACATAATTAGATGTGGGGCACAACCTCAAATAGAATATTTTTACTAAATCCTTATTTGAAAATTTAATTTGACCCACATCCTTTTATTTTTATTTAACCCTAAAATACCCTTGATATACCTAATAAAAAACCACGTTTCTCTATTTTTTTCTCCCCACTCTCTTTTTATCCGCCGCCTACCCTGGCTCGCTCTCTTCTTCAACCGCCCCACACCTTTCTATTTCTTTTCTCTCTTTCTGTAGTGGTGCTCTCTTTCACATCGAGAGGATATGTTAGAACTGGGATTGACGGCGACGGCGCCGAGTTTTGCTGTCGAGAATGATAGGCGGCAGGAGGATGAGGCGGCGAGTGGCGAAGAGGATGACGGGTTAGAGACTTATATTTTCTATTCTTTATCAATCCGTGTTCTGTGTTTTCTCTGTATGTTCTGTTATGTATACTATTTTGCATGTTCAATATTTATTTTAACAATAAAAAATTCTTACCTGTTTTCATTCTCAATATTTTTTTAGCACTGAGATTTTAGTCTTCTTGTTTGATTAATATTAATATTAAATGGAATATTCATATTCAGCAGGAAAAAGAAAAAAAAATATAATGTTGCTGGATGACGAGAGGCGCAAAATCCAGTACACAATAGAGTACGCGTTATTTGCTATAGTGTACAACACTCTGGAGCCGGATCCTCCAGGACAGTCGGTGTTCGAAATAATGCAGAATTGTGGAGGTGAGTACAAGAGCATACCAATTCCGGTGCCACACGATTGGAAGCCTTGCCTTAAAGCGGCCCAACGGATGGTGGAGCAGCCGTGTTGTCGTCAATTGAAAGAACATGTTTTGTAGCCGCACCGTACGTGTTGTACAGGATAACTTGAGCGCAAGGGCCAATTATATCCGCTACCTAGGGAGAGCTAACCGCTACCTCTTCAAGGCTCGCCTTTACATGAATGACGCTTGCGTTGAAGAAGATAGGGCTGGAGAGAAGAAACAAACTGAGGCTATGGAAGCAAAATTAAGGACAACTGATGAAGAAGATAGGGCTTGGCTGCTAGGATTTCGTTGCGGCTGCGTTTACTGCTGGCCGAATGAGAGTTGTTCGCAGCTAGGGTTCGGAATAGTATACCGTAGTAAATCATAGTATACCATAGTACACCGTAGTACACCATAGTATAACCATAGCAGACTGTTGTAGTGTATATATATGAACAGACAAAGAATGTGTCAAAGTGAAGTTCATGTTTCAGAAGCCTATAAACGACGATAATGACTACGGTAAAGGTAACTATAGATGTACCGATAGAAGATAAACTAAAAAAAAAAAAAAAAAAAAAAAAAAAAAGAGAAAAACGTGTAAATTGAATTATAAAAAAAAAATAATATATTTTTTTTTTAATTTTCAATATTATGTATAAAAAAAGAAAAAAACAACGAAGTTTGTTTATAATAGTCTATAAAATGCTAAAATAAAGAATGAAAGAGAAAAAAAGACCATTGGGTATTTTGTAAAAAAAATTAAAAAAACGTCAGACGAAAAATAAAAATATTAAATGTAGAATAAAAAAATAATTAAGGTAGTTTAATTACTTAATAAAAAAATTAAATTTGTTAGTGGAGGGGCATTTTGGGAATGAATTTTATAAAGGATGTGAAACAAATGTTTAGTTGAACTTGTCATTTAGTTCTAATAAGTTTTGTTACTAGGGACCTATATCTCAAGGCCCCTTTAATTAAATCCAATTATTTTATCGGACATGCCAACGTCAAACAAAGAAAACTTCATAGAAGATAAGATAAGGCAAGATAAGCAATGATAACGTAATTTTGGCGAGTCGACCCGATAATTAATTAGGGATATTAAATATCGAACAAAGTCTTATTATTTAGTTAATCATGGTTAATCTCCCAAACCAAACAAGACCGTCTAACTAATTAATTTGTAGATACTTGAGGAAGTGCACTAGGTAAGCCACACTCACGTACAATAAAATAATTAGGGTAAATTACACATACACACTCTTGAGATATGCTAAAATTACTTTAAGGTCCCTATGGTATCGGTAATTACAATCACCCCTGTGACATTGTTAGAGTTCTAACGGACTATTAATTTCAAGAAATGGTAGAGATATAATACAGAGTTAGGGGTTAAGAAATGTTGTGGGAGCCATGTCATCCACTAGGGGGTGATTGTAATTACCGATATTATAAGAACCTTAAAGTTATTTTAACATATTTCAGGGATGTAAGTATAATTTACCCAATTAATTAGGTGTAATGAAGGTTCGAATTCTCTTACTAAAAATGGTTCTTGGTTCTCAATATCCGAAGGAAATAACAAAAATGTAATTGACCAATCCTTACCAAAGAAAAAAAAAAGCAAACCAATAATAAGTTATGTTGCAGTTTATATGTTTAAATTAATCTAATTAGCATAAAATAATCTTTAATTTCCAGTATCTCCTGATTAGCAATGATTAATAATGTGAGTTACCAATTATATTATTTTAAAATATTATAAATTCTAATTTACAGACCAATACCAACAAATTAAGACTATTTCCAGGACCATAAATAAAATGGCAAAGCTCTTGCAATCATTTTTGTTTGTCACAATCTTCATTTCTTTTTTCTCAGGTATATATATATACACCAAAAATTGTTACTGAATTTTATAATCTTTCGATGAAGTTCGGTTCAAATTTCGACAGAAAAAATCGATAACCGACTCTCGATAGAGGAATTGGTACATGATCTCAAGTAATAGGCATCCAAATTAAATCACGAGATGTGATGATTCATTGATTTAAATTCGTACATAATTTTCACCTAATTAATAGTAAGGGCAAATTATACGGTCACTCCTTAGATATGGTCAAATTACGAAAAAAAAAATTTTGTTTGGGTAATTACAGTCACCCCCTCATTTTAAATATGTTTACATAATTTCTGTAATTCGGTTATTTACTGAACCTAATCGTATATTTAGTTCAGTAAACGGTATGAAATGTTGGCGCACCGAAATTTCAGTTCAATTTTACCGAAATAAATTTACCTCTGAAGGGGTCTTTTCGTAAGATAATACATAAGCTGGGGGAGTGATTGTAGTTACCTTAACAAAAGGAGGGTTTTCGTAATTTGACCGTAATTTAGGGGTGGCTGTAATTTGCCCTAAATAGTAATTTTTTTTCCTGTAATTATTAAATTTATTTATTAATCTCTAATTATTTATGGAAATATTAGGTTATATGGGTTCGTCGGAGTACACGTGTACGGTGAATCTAGACTACCAGTGCATAGAGGAACTCCCAAATGCGTGTGTGAGCACGTGCGCCTATTTCGTTAAGGGAAGACGTCTTTACGAGACATACTGTAGACGAGTTGGCGGGACACGTGGCAAAACCTACACTTATTGCCATTGCGTTTTTGAGTGTCCGCACGCGACTTTAGCCCCAACTTCCAACTGAAATAACGACTTTTTTCATATTTTGTTTCCTTGTTGGGATTTAGGTAACGATTTGTTTTTCCCATGATAAGAAATAAGAATCGTTCTTGATCAATAAAAATATATATTCTCTAAAAAAAAATCAATCAAAATAGGGCAAATTGCGCGTCGTCCCCTATAAATTTATAACTTTTGCACTTTACCCCCTCAAAAAAAAAAAAAAAATATGAATGTTACCCTTCAAAATGTTATTTTTGTTGCACATTGTCCTGATAGCAAAATTCAGATGGATTATTCAACGGAATTGAGTGCTTTTGTTGCACTTTGCCCCTTTAAATGTTAATTTTTGTTGCATGTTCACCCATAAAAATATTATTTTTCTACACATTGCCCCTTTAAAATGTTATTTCTGTTGCACGGTATCTACCAAAATTTATTTTTTGGGGCAAAGTGCAATTGAAACAATATTTTTTTTGGAGGGGGGGTGTATCTCGTTTTTGAATTTTTAGGGGGGAAAGTG